CTCTATCTAAACGTGTGAATGTTTTTCCGATAAATTTCAAAATTTAGGCCCCTCTGCTTTTTTAACTAATAAATCCAAAAAAGATAATTTGCCTTCTACTTTCCGTTCGTATGTGAATTTAGTCGATGGGTAAAAAGAATTTAAATATATGTATAAAAGTCTCCATATTAAAATCTTTACTTATTACTGCAAAAATATCATCTACATACATAACCCAAATTTTTAAAAAATCACCATAAGTGTGTTTTATATTTGTTTCAAACCTACTCATGAAAAGTTCTGCTAACAATGGTGATAGCGAATTTCCCATTGCTGTGCCCTCAGTTTGCTCAAAAAAATTATTTTGAAACTGAAAAACATTTTGACTCTACATAATTTTGTTAAATTAATCAGTTCATTTATTATATCCTGTTCTATGTTTTGTTCCTTTAGCCAGTCTTTAAGAAAATCAATTGTTATATTTATTGGAATATTCGGAAATAAGGCTACTATGTCAAAATAAATTAACCTGTTAATATTTTGAATGGTATAAACAGATAATTTTTGAACCAAGTCAATATTATTTTTAACTGAAAAGCTATCAAATTTTTGATTATATGAAAATACTCTTACTAAGTGTTGAGCCAAATTGTAAGTTGGAGCATTAATATTCGACACAATAGGTCTCATATTATTACCTGGTTTATTTATTTTTGGCAAAGCATATAGTTTAGGTATTTGAGGGTTTGAAATTTTAATAAAAAATCTGAACTTATCTTCAATTATTAATTTTGAACTTGATACCGTTTGTAGTCTCCCTTATCATTTTACTAATGGATTTTTTAAAATTTTTATATAGTCGCTTTTAAATTAATATTGTTATTTAATGTTATAGAGTTATGAAATTTGTAAGACATGCAATACTTTGTGACAAAATTATTTGCCTAAGATTATCTAATTTATTATTATACAGTTTACTACTACTTAAAATTAGAGTAATAATAATTATATAATATAAATTTGTTATAGTTACATACGTATAACAATTTCATATTTCTTCTGTGACATAAATGTTTAATTAAATATTATTTTGAAAAGCGGAAATATTGGGAATTCCATTCCGGTATAGTAAAAATGAAAAAGATTATTAATATTTTTGAACTAAAATGTTTAAAAGTGTAAGACATTTGAATCATTCAATATTAAGATTGTTGTTGATGTAATTCTTGTTTGGTATAATTTGTTTTCAATTTTTATTTTGATTCAGCATATATAAACTTTAATTTAGAATGTAACTGGTTTATAACAATACATTATAATACATTTAGTTTTAAATATGTTTATTTAGACAAATAAAGATTATTAGTTAATACAAATAATTATTGTAAGATTAATTTATTTTTCTATTGATTAATTTATAAGTTAACTTAAAATGTTAATCTTCACTTTTAAGAGTTATATTGAAGTAATTTGATATGTTAACATTTGTTTAATATTCACATTCTTCGGGAAGATTTCTTTCCTTTCCTTTTCTTTTTATTAATTTTTGCCATTTTTGACATGTTATCGACTTGAAAAATGAGTGATAAACCTTCATCTATATAGATTGAAAGTCATCCTTAGTTTTGATCTCTTCATTTGTAATGTATTGGTCTTATTTGTATTCTCTTTCTCTTACTATGTATTGTTCACCATTACCTTCTACTTTGGTTGCTTAATACTATGCTATCTGTTATCATAACATTGTTATCTGTTTTGTTCCTCTCTGTCATATCTTGATCATGTATAAAATCTATTTCTTCCTGTATGTGTCGTTCAGCATTACCTTCAATTCGAAATATTTCGCTTCTATCTTTTACTTTATAAATTATCTTACCTTCTATATCATTTTTGTTCTCTTCTTCTATAATGTGTTGGTCTTGTTTGTATTCTCTTTTTACTAGTATGTACTGTTCATAATTACCTTCTACTTGAAGTGTTTCTTTGTTTATTTTTAGACTGTATAGTATTTGTATTTTGTACGTCTGGTACAAAATTTAATTCTACGTCTCATTCAGCCTTAACTTTAATTTTAAATGTTTGATTCCTTTTTTCTTGGTTTTCAGTTGTTTTACAATCATTATCTGTCTTTTTCTTTTTTATACTTCGTACATCATTTACATGTTCTATATTTTTGTCTAGTTTATTAACTTTACCCAATAGATTTTCACATTGATTTTTTTTGACCATATTGTTAGAATTGTTAATTAGTGCTGCTTTCTTTTCAAAAAAAGAAATTTTGTTCGAAATTCCTTAAAACATATTAATATTTATAATTTTTAAATGAAATGCATAACAGCTAATATTTTATTTATACTTAAACATAACTATATACTTGACAATTGGAATTCTATTATCTGAAGTAATAACTACCATATATTTTAAGTAGAAGAATGAACTTATTATTACCCTATTTATTTACATTTGTCCCACTAGATCTAAGACTGTTGATAGGTTAAATGTTATCAATATAAAAACTTTGGTTCATTAAGTATTAGATAATTTTACATTTAAGTTATTAAACAAGTGTTTCCTGACTTTTAAATGTCAAAAACTCATGATTTTTCAATCCTTTTGACACTATATTTATGATTATAGAGGTGTCACTAGAATTTTGTTGTGGGACATATACTATATATCACTATATATTATTTACAATACGTAGACTATATATTATTTATAGTGTATATTCCCTTCATCAATCATACTATATATACTTAAAAAAAATATTTAGTATCCTCTCTTAATAAAAAATAATTATGCTGTAATATACAATTATTTTTTTTTTTAGCGTCATATTTATAATTTATTTTAATTTATTTAACTTACCTATATTACATTATTTATCAGTAATTGATTACTTTTTAGAATTATCTATTACAACTTATAGAGGTGTCAACTTAATATTTTCAATTGGGTACATATATAATAAATTAGTTTATCTATTTATTAACAATCTAATTAAAAAAATAACTAGTGAATTACAAACTTTGGATCAATATTTCAGAAATTATTAACAGTTTAAAATTTTAATTGGTGTTGAGGAATGTGTGCTGCTGCTATTTTTATCGCTAGTCAATTTAACTAAATGTACCCTTGACTCACCTTTAAACTTCTTATTTTTCAGTTCCTCGTTTTGATTGGTTACTGGGGTTGTACAATTAGGAACTTTTGTGTCAGTAGATCTAATTTTTGGATCATATTTTTGAATTGGGTGATTTAAATCAAAAGTATGTTCTCTTATTTTTTTTCTTGTGTTAATTTCTTTTATTATATTGTTTTTTGCAGCACTCTTTATTAATTTTTCAAACATCAAGACTTTATTAGTCACGTTTACTGAGTGCATATTTTTCATTTTTTGTATACAGTATAAATAAAAGTATTGAACTAAATATATATTTCAACACTAATAACTATAGAAGTATGAAAAATTTGATTAATCGAAAAATTAAGAACACGTAAGTGAATTAAGTCTACCAGAAATTTCCATGCACATTTAGCGAATGTATATAAATATTTGTGTTTATCTATAGAAACATATTAGTTGTTTGTATATTATTTATAAAACATGAAAATGTATTGAGCCTGTATATTATACTAAAATATAAGAAAAATAAAATAAAGGTTTAAGTTGTTAAATAGGTATTAAATAATAAATTGATAAAAGTATGGTGGTTATAAAAGAAATAGCTAGATTTAATGGGTATAACGAAAACATAATTTCAAAATTAGTCTGACACACAAAATTGGAATAAAGACAGGAAGGCAGCTAGTACACTCACTAGAGTGGGGGAACCAAAAATAATTAGAGCACCCATTTTATATTATCCGGGGATCTTAAATGTTAATTAAAAAGTTAACCCCAATATGGTATTTTACGGTAATATTAAATAAAATATTATACATTAGTATATTTACAGGCTCTAAAAAGGGTATCGATAACAAAATGGAACGAAAGTCGTCTGTATTCGAGGTTGACTGCGACTTACAAGTAGTAATCGTAAGTTTGACATTAAGCAACTATTAGATATTATGAGCAACCATTTTTTATTCGGACATCTTATATTATACTTTGCTTTAATTATTTTTAAAAATCCTCATGAGGAATGATTTTAACATCCTAAATATTCATAACATAATTTAAATATATACTGAATAATTCATTTGTTATAAACCACTCAATAACTCGCAAAATAAATACAATTTTGAAAAAGAAAAATTATTTAGTTTTATTTAGTCACATATATTTCTTGACTAATCAGCCATTAATAGCATCATCTCTTATAACTTCTAGGAGTTAAATAACAAAATCTAATTAAGAAAATGAAGACTCAAAAACATCTTTTGGACCAGTATTTTGAAAGTTATTAACATTTTCATACATAAGCGGATTAAAGTAGGTCGAGAAATATATCCATAAAATAGTCATACCAGTAACTAGTGAATATAAACAAAGAATTTGATACATTTAAAAATATTATTAAATATTTAATAGTATTTTCATATTCATGTAATATTACATGTTTTTTATTACCATCAAATTCATTATTCAATTTATTTATTGAGAAAAATGAGCATGTTATTTATAGCATTTTGCCTGTACAATTCATTTTTAAGATGATCAATGAGCTATGAATTATTTTAATAAAATTAGCAACTGACTAAACTAATGAATTTATTTAATGCAATAATTGCGTTAATTAATTGCTTGAATTATTTTAGTATTTAATTTTCAACTAAGGTTCAAAAATATTTTTGTGTGAACACTAAAAATAACGCAGCATTTTGTATTATAATTAGAACTTATTACTAAGCTAAAAAAATGTCCACCACAGTCTATTTAGTTATCTGCTTTTTCGAAGTGCGCTAAATATATTTATTGGTTCATGCTTTATTTGTCAAACGTATTAAAGGGATATGTAATTTTATTGATAGGCAGTTATTTAATATCCAAGTGATAGAAATAAAATAAAAAATAGATCTTAATATATAAAATTTATTTATTTTTATTATAGTAAGGTAATAAATTATTTTATAAATAAAACAAATAAGATGGATAGAATTTTTACATAATATTTAAAGACAAACTCAATGTTTTTTTAAACAAATTAAAAAAACAATAGTTCTTAATGTTGCAGCCAGTTGTTGATTTAGCACATCAGGATTACCATTTGTTGTATCCATAACCACCAGATGAGTATGGGTAGGAGTTGTATCCTTTGTTATAACCATGTCCACTATAAAGGTCGTTATCGTAGTAAGAGTTGTGTCCATAACCAGAGCTGTAGGATCCTGGGTAATTGTAGCTATTACTATAGGAATGGGCGCCAGAGCTTGGATAACCTCTGTAACCGTAACCTTGGTCGTAAGAGCTACCGTAGTAGTTGTTTCCGTAACCGTATTTGTTGTAACCATTATATCCGCTGCCGTATGAGCTTGGGTAGCTACTATAAGAGCTTGGGTAGCTGCTGTATGAGCTTGGGTAGCTGCTATAAGAGCTTGGGTAGCTGCTGTATGAGTTTGGATAGCTGCTATAAGAGCTTGGGTAGCTTCCATATGAGCTTGGGTAGCTTCCGTATGAACTTGGGTAGCTGCTGTAGCCGTTGTTATATCCTCCGTATCCACCGAAAACTACAACAGATTAACAAGTTCATTAGCCCAATATCGTTAAATAACTAAATAATTATTTAATAAATTTATATTTTCTAATTAGTAAATAAGTGGTTATTTTATTCAATTGATAAAAAATTATTTAATATGATGCGATGTAAAATGTATGTGTTAGTAAACTACAAAGTGTTGGCCAAAAATTTCAACTTGTGTTTTTTGTTCAATAATTTTATAGTTATTTAACATTTCGTGACAGTATTAAATCGATACTTTGTTATTCTATAAATTAAATCACAAATAAACCACTTTTGATGGTCATTGAAGGCCTAACTTATTTAAGTAATTTATAGACACGGTTTTATAAACACCATGGACAAGAAGCGATCGAAATGCTAAGAAAGTAATGTTTTATATTATTATTGATGAAGGATATTGTTGTTATCGCCTCGTTGCCTGTTGTACCATGTGTGTAAAAATTTGATTGTTATTGTCGTCAATTAAACTGACAATGTTTGTAAAAAAAACCTTGGGTTGACAAAAAAAAAATCGTCATCAAGAAAAACGTGGGTAATTAGATGAAAATTACAAAAAACATACTTGTTAAAGGTTATACAAAACGGGACGGCTGGACAGTATCGTGTTTACGCTGAAGCTAACGGTGAAGGTTTTTAATGTTTATTTTGCTTATTTTCTTTCCGGGCCAACGACGATGCCAGGAAAATAACACAGTGACGCAAACAGTGCAAGAGTTTATAAGAAATGTAAATAATTAGAATACATGTCCTTCATCTCAAGTTACTTGTCACATAATATGATTATATTTAGGGACAATCTTTTGTTTGTGATCAAAGCATTCAAACGACATACGCCCGTCATTAAACGTACGCATTTCATTAATTACCTACAGTCACCAAAAAGCGCGGTGGTTTAAGTTAACTAAGATAATGAATAGCTGCTTAATATATGAATAGAGCTGTGAAATAATACATTTTTTGGAAACTTTAATGCATGTGCCTAAGACGTGATATTTATTTAAAATATATTTAACGGACTATTTAAAATATTAGCTTCAAAAATAATAATGAAAAAGCTACTTTTTATGAAACTATTAATAAAACAAAAATATTAACATTTGTAGTGAGAAATATACTCAACTATACATTTCTGTTTTGGAACTAAAATTTAAAACAAAATATTTTTACTATTATTTTCAACTAAAATGTATAATGAAAAATAAAAATAAACACTATAGTTTTTATGCTTTGAATTCCTCCAAATTAAGACAAACATTTTTTATCTGACTTAGTGTTTCCTCAAATTCAAAATCGATATTTATTGTTATAACACTTAAAATTTATTGTAACACTAATTTACTCACGTGATCGTCCAGAAGCTGCTGTAGCCAAATCTGATTTCTCCTCTGAACGTTTTTCTACTACTTTGGTTTCTTTTTTGGCTTCTTCGGAGTGGGCGAGGGCAACTGCCACAGCCAATATTGCGAAGATCTAATTGAAACAAACATTTCAATGTAGTATATATTTTATATGATAGAGTTTTCGAATATTATAATTTTTCAAAACATAAAATTTAATAAAGAAAATATATTTTACTAACTTTGACGAAGGTGTTCATCGTGTATAATTTATTTTGTTAATACTTAATTAAAAAAAAAAACTCGTGTGTGAGTTGTTGAAAAGACGATTTTGGTTTAACGTTTGAGTTCACAGCATCGAGTTTATATAAGACCGGCCGGCAACCCCACCCGTTCAAATAACCCTGGAACTTTATGGATTGCGGTTCCACGCGGTCTTTTGGATACTCAGGTGTAGTTATAAGAATTCAGCGTAAGTACTTTGTGTGTGCGTACTTGTAATTTTGTTTAAGTGTGTGTTTGGAAGAGAGAAAAATGAACGTGATTTATTTACATATTATGTCCAAGGTCGTGAGAGAATATCACATGCAGTATCCCTCATATGCTGGTATACATATTAAATTGGAAATCCAACAATATAGGGATGCTTAGAATAATGTATGTATTAAATTCAAAATTAATTAAATTTAAAAAATAACATGAGTATTCAAAAGAGTTATTACGCTTTACATGCTATTTTCGGGTATTCCCAATTGGTCGTATGAACTGATCAGTTCACATTAAATATATACCGTAATTTAAGAAAACGTCGAAAATTAATTTTATAGTTTGTTTACATACCAATTATCTACTAGAACAAATCATGGCATCATCTATGCAACATTTTTACAATATCTGTTCATGTAGTTGTAGCGATGGCGGACAATATAATTAATTTTACTGCTTAAGTATCGTTTTAAATGACTATTTTATTACCTCTACTTGTTTGATATTGGATTTTGATCACTATGTAACTTATTTCTTAAATTTTAAAATCATTACAAACTAATAGAAATAACAACAATAATTAGTTAACTAGTTTCTAAAAATACACGAGAGGTATTACTTTCTAGTAAAATATAAAAATTAAAACACATATAACTTGATAGTTGAGTAAATATTTAAAAAGTAATGATATATTTCCCGTGAAATTTAAATGGAATTATTGTTTCTATTGGTCTATATTGTATAAAGATATATATTAAAAAAATCATATATTAAATAAGTTTAATGATTAGTACAATAACAAGGGAAAAATATTATTTTAACATTATAGACCAGAGTTGTTACGTTTTAAACACGCAATGATTTTTAATCACCAACGTAGTTGTCAATGTTTTAAATATGTTAAAACACCAAAAATGTCAAAATTTACATTAGCCTTATAAGGCATTTTAAATGTTAATTCAAAAAATTATTTTTACTTTTAATATCCTAGAGTCGAAAAAAATATAATTATATTTCCCTAAAATGTTGACATTTTGTTTTAAATACTTTATAATCTTTGAAATTTATAAATTTCTTATTATTATTTGATAATGAAATGTAAAAAACAATGTTTCATGTCATAAAAGTTAAAGAAATTAGTTCAATGGCTAAAAATATATTTTTGAAACTATTTTAATAATTATTTATATGCTTATAACAGACAATTACCAAAACATTTAAACTAAAAAAAATATTTCCATGTTCTTCATATTAATTTTGATTAACGTGTTAATTATTAGTATAATTATTTTAACATATTTTTTTTATTCCAAATCTGCTTCAGATCAAGTTTGATACATTTTAAACACTTAATGTTTAAAACACCAAAAACTTCAAATTGTATATTGACCTTATGGAACGTTTTAAACTTTTAAAACTGTTTCTTTATGTTTAAAATATATTTAAAAAAAAAATACGCATTTAACAACCCTACTTCAGAAATGTTTTCTCACGTTGAGTTATTGAAATAATTGTTCATTTGTAAAAAAAAATGATAATGACTCACTAAAAAATTCATGAAAATGTGTAAAAAGGGTATATTTTTTTAACTTTTCAAATTTGTTATAACATTTTGGAAAAGAATTGTGCATAATTTAAATCTTTCTTTAGGCGATACAACTTGATTTTGATAGCCAGTTACTAAAAAATTAGACTAAACTTTTCACTTAAACTTTTTTTTGGTTTAATTCGCAAATATGAAAAAAATATTAATAAACTATATTCTAGTTTTCTAGGAACACTGGATGCTATTTCAATTATTATGTTTTAATAATTAATAATTAATTAAACATTAATAATTACATTATAATGTTATAACTTTTTATAATTATAATTTATATAATAATATAAAAACAGAATACTTGTGTATAACAATTTTCTGGCCTCCAACCTATGATTGCGTACCGAATTTATTAGAAATACTTAGACTAAAGATATTTAGGTACCCCTAACATTCACTTAATTTCGTTTATGGAGTCATTCCTTAACGGATCACTATTATTTTATAAATTTCATTAAACTTCTTACTTCTTCAAATCACACAATCAAAATGTTAGAACAGTAATTCAAAAATTTCAGTTTTGAGTTTTCTCACATTTTTTTCTTGTGTAAATTTTAATTATTTGTTGATTTTTTAGTGTATACTTTTATAAATACAATATGTAAAAATAAATAAAAATGTAATTTTCAAGTTAAAATCAAAATGTTACCAGTCTTCCTTTTTTTTGAGTAAATTGATTTTTTCGCTACTCATTACAATGTAATTACATTACTAATATAAACAACTCACCCAATATATTAACATCGAAAGATATTAATCAATATTTCAGGAAACAAATAGCTCAATAATTTTCCTATAATATCAGTTCAATATTTTTTTAATCGTAATTATGATAAACAAATTTCGACCTTGTTAATAAACATTTATTAACATAATTAAATATATTCATAAATGTGAATTATGTAACAATTAATACAATAACTTGTGAAAACAATATAATTCATGATTTCTTTCATTATTTAGGCATTTTATTTTTCTCCAAATAAACTTAATTTAATATACAAAATATGTTTAATATTAAAAATAAATATACCCAATAATTTACAAATGCTAAAAAAATGTATATGTATTTGTTTCGCATAAAAACTGTTGAATAAATTGTCCACGCTTAAAATTATTTGGTCTATTGAATCTCTCCATGAAGTTATTAATCATTTCCTAGGGCAAGGGCAATCATTTTCCTTGTGATTCAATCAAATATGATCAAACATGCAAATCAATGCTTACTCATATTATTAACTCTGAAAATTATAAATAATTAATTATTTACATAAATATTATAATTTTATCATACATATCACAAATTAATACTAATTAATAAAAACTAAACATGCATTTATGAAAACTTGACAATATTAATAATTTTATTTTCTAAAAATAACAAAATGATATTTTTAATATTCAGCTGTTCAATAATGTAACGTTCCTTTTTTTATTAAATTTTAAGTATAATTATTTAGAAAATGTGTCTTAGTACTAAAATTTTAAAAGTTGAATAATTGTATATGATTTGTAAATACATGTTTGTTGACAGCTTTACCAAAAAAAATCTTTTCTCTATCAACTTTCATCTCTTCCAAATATGAACTTAATGTAGCAATCTGATTCCTAACAAATACATTGCATAATATTACCACATCTTTAATCCATCAACAAAATACTTTTTTAATAATAATTAATAATAGATAATGTCGCCTTCTTATAAGGAGACAGAAGAAGTATGCAACATCATTTTATTTTTATGTTTTTTATTTTAACTAATTTTATTCATAAAAAATAGTTCTAATAGCATTTTTTAAATTGGTAGAAAATAAGAAAATTTAATTATTTATTATATGATAAAAAACAATAGCGATATAATAAAAAATATGATGATTTACTTTAAAATATAGTAAATTTAATTATCTGTAGTGAACTTTTCCAATAATATTCGTTATCGTAACTCTTTATAAAAATGTGTCGAGATTATTTTAAACTAATAAGAGTCTATAGAATATTGTTCTTATGAATTTTCCTTCCTTGCATAACTGCTCAATATATAATAGAAATATAATGAGTAAGTCTATATACGATAAGGAATGTCTAAATATGTACTGGGGCAATGTTTTTTCTTGTGTCTAGTAATGTAAAATTACCGTAATAAAACTTTTAGAAAAATCTCAAAAGACGAGAATATTTGTTTTAACTTCTTTTATTATATTTTACATTATTGTAAAATGTGCTTGGGTTAGTTATCAAGTATAAATTTGATCATTTCCAAATTTATTTATTGAGCTTTAGAATAATTTGATCAAACAAAGTTGGAAGTGTATAATTCTTCTTCTTCGAATTAAAGTTCACCATTCTTCAATTATATATTTTTGAAATTACAAACTTTTTAGAGATATGTTTAGAAGTAGACAATTTAAGCTTATTTTACAGTAATTATATAGAATTTTTTTTACTGGAAATATTTCGATTGACTTTTTATGAGGTGGGGAAAGGGTTGTTATTTTTGATGTTTGAACAACAACGATTTTTTTTTTTTGAGAATTATTGACATTTTTGTTATCATATGGCTATCAATCAAGTAAAAGATAATTATTTACCATCATAAATTTTCAATAAATATTCATAAAGAAATAATTTAGTTATATTTATTTATAAGAATATATACCGGGTAATAATGTACAGGAAAAAGTGCTCTTGAAAATATTCTTTAGTTACATCATTACTTGTGTCTAATAAACACAATTATTTAATTAAAATATATTTATTTTTATAATTGCAATACGCATGGTTTTTAAAAAATAGAAACTGCACGTTTTCATTATATATTATTTTAGAGATTGGTTTCCTTTCATCTTTTTGAAAATATTTATATTTTATTTTTACTATTTACTGAAGTCACAAAATAAACATTATGACGACGGAACTCCGTAGAAGTGCAAAGTGTTGATATTAGCATGAATTGTAATAAACGTTGCTTAGTCAGTTTTACTATTGTAGAATGTTTGGAGACAAATATAAATTATTTAACTTTAGTCATACTGTATCATCTATTGATCAAATTTAAATTTAAAAATCTGTATTTTGTAACTCTCATAAGATTATCGATGAGGTGTTTCTAATCTGATTAGTAATGTTGGGTTAGTCTGTCTTAATGACTTTTCACAGCAATGTTTGAAACCGCTTACTGACCTCAACTTAATAATTTTATTGTATATTACTACGACCATCAGCATGATTATCGTCCAGCATCTGTAGTTGTGCAATATTATTTATAATAGCCGTTTAAGTACATATTACTCGCCTCTGTTTTCTTATATTTGTAGTTTTTCAGTTAAAAAGCATAAAATTTGGTACTTCCTCCACCCCCAGAAAAAGTTGACAAGTGTGAATAATGAAGAAATATTATTATTATTTCTTAGTATCTATATTGATATTGTTGTCTATGCATTTTCCTACATATTCAATTATCACTGACACGATAGTACAAAAAGCTTTTGCACAATACGAAAACCTTCTTAAAATAATAATAATGGTATTATCCGAATATTGTTTAGAAAATTCTATAATATCGGACAAACCATTGATTCTATTGCCCACGGAGATAAAATTGTTTATAGAGGTCGATTTTGCCGGACGTTCAAAATACAATGAATATCAATTTAAATCATTTGAAAAACCAGTTGCACAGGACGAGAAGGTCTATGGTTTCTTAATGACATTGAGGCCTACTTTATTCACGAAATTAAAACTGAGAGAAAAAATAAAAATAAATTCATTATTCATAATGCAATTATTATGATTAACATCTATGTTATCAAATCTATGCAAGTGATAAATACTCGTATGTTGAGAAATGATATCAACACTCGAAAGAGAAGTATATTTAAACATATTTTAAGGATTTAGTTTTAAAAAAAAGTTAATTTTAAAACAAATTAAAAAAATTTTCATTAAACTTAAATTATATTTTATTGCATTGTTATGTTAGGAAATGTTTTTTATTCATCAATCAAACCAAAGTTAATAAACGCGAATAATGAAATAACATAAATCCATTTGTGTTACATGTATAGTCTCTTTCATTAATAACCACAGATATGTTTTTGACTATATATTTGAACATTGTATGATTTATTACTTATTCTTTTGTAATCAAATGAACGTCTTTTATTAAAAAATGAAAATCTTTTGATAATAATGATCTAGATCGTTTGCTTTGAATTCTTAAGAGAAATTAAGAAACTTTTGGCGACACGAGATGTTTAAATCAGTGGGCAGAAATTCTGATGTAACAGTAGACCTTGTCAAATGTAGGCTGACCGCGTATCCTTGCGGACCATTATCTTTCTGAGATAGACAGTACACCTATTATTGTAGGACAGCTTGTCGTTTTTAATTTGTGGTTGGTTAAATAGCTTAACATTAAATGACCATTCCGATTTTTAACCCATATTATTTTACTCGTATACAAAAACATATAAACACATTGTATTTAACCACAATAACAAATCGTATTATAATATTCTAAATTATATAAATGAAGGATTAATTTATCGAATTTATAATTAGTTCAATATATAATTTAGGACATATTTTAATGTTAACGTAGTAAACAAACAATGACAATAAAAAATGAACATTAAAAATTAATGAACTGATAAATCTTCAGTGACTGAACATTTATTGACACATAATTACTCCATTAAAACCAAACACTAATTAATAAGTAAATAATTACAAAGAACTTAATATAAGGGAAGCAATATTAATTTAAGATGAGAACAATTTAATTGATTGCGATCTTGGCTCACTGAAAAATTCATCATTAAACTTATATAAACTGAATTAAGTAAAATTAAAACTATATTAAAAATATTATTAATTTAAAAAACTAAAAAATATTAAAAATATTAAGCTCAAAGCCACAAAAAAATTATATAAACTGACAAAATTAGTGATCAAGTCACCAGATGATAAGGTTACTAGAGTATAAAGGGAGTTTTTTTTCGGTCGGGGTGTTAGTATGCGTTTAGTGTTTATAACGGTAACATTGTTCCCAAAATACTTACCTGTGATTTTTTTTAGTAATTTTCGTTGCTTTTTGAATTAAACAGTTAATAAAAGTCATTAATATAATTGAGTTCGATGTTTAAAAGTTAAAAAAATGTTATACTAATAGAAAACTTAATAAAATATACTAATTTTTCTAATAATAAGCCAATATTAAAAAATAATAATTTTCATAATAATCAGCAAATATGAAAAGGAACAACATATAATAATTTTATAAATATAATTCGATAGTTTTTACAATAATTGTAAAAACCATGGTATAATTAAATTTTTTCTATCTATAGTAAATTAAAAAAATAATATTTACGCCGATGTCAAATTTTATGGATATTGAAGATAAAAAATTTATTAAAACACTACCACATCCACATTTTTTGTTTTAGCTTATTTTTACTCGTTACTTATTATTAAAGTATAAGTTTCTGGAAATTACAGACATTTATCAGGAAAAGCATATGCCCTGATATAGCATACACCTAATATATATGTATATATATATTAGAACTGCAATTTATGTATATAGGGATCTAAGTCACAGATTAATAATCAGTAAATTTATTTTAATTTAAAAGCAAATACTATGTTCAACTTTGAATAATGCATAGAGTTACAACATTCAGTTTAATAAATTATACCTTTTCTAGTTATTTACATATTCCTTTTCCTATGTAGAATTATTTTTGTTTAACACTTATTACATATAACACTTATTATAAAATAATATTTTAATAAAGTTAATTGAAAATTATTTATTTATCATTTTAAGTCATTTATGAAATTTAACTAGTGACTTAGCACTTCAGCGTTAGTTAATTTGTAGAAATAAACCAGAATAACAAATGCTATGAAAATTATAAAACCAAAAAACTTCATTATAAATGCCTAAATTTATTAAATGATACTTGAAGTTGAAACTTATTTCTGACTAATCAATAAAAATATTCAAAATACACATAGGTAAAAATAAAGTAAAAGCTAGTTATCTAAAATCTGATACAACGTGTGTACCTTGAACTACCAGGTTATCAATAGAAATGTTGAAAACAACAATTAACTATAATTTAAATAAAAATTACTTTGAAATATACATTAGTATGAAATATATGTATATATATATTTTTTTTGTGGTATTATTTTATTAAAAATAATTTTGTCAGTTATATGTTATTAATTTTTGAGTTGTTATAATTTTTAGTTATAAGTGAGAGAAAAAATTCTTATTTATTTTTATTTTGATAAAAATAGAGCGTCGCTAATAATTACTCTGCTCCTCATATTTTCTAAATCTTCAAATGCTAATATCTCAAAATGTAATAATAGAAAAATGATCATCGATCATTCAATATTTTATTAATAATCCTCCATTTTATAGAAAAAATATTATAATAAGTTTTCATTTAACATTCGAAAGTTACTCTTAAAGTCTACCCTTAGGGATAACTTTTTCTTACAATAAACTTGATATCTACAACGACTTATAAAATCAATTGTCTTCAAATTAATTTGATACTTTTCCTTGTATGTTTTTTTCGTTTGTTTTTACTCAAGAGCTACACCGATATTTTACACAATTAAATATATTTGTAATATATAATATATACAACACTAGTTCTTACATTTTTTTCCTCATTTGTCAATAAATGTTCATTGCTTGTGCTATGATAATTCTTATTGAGATAATTCTCATTGTATTAGAAGCAAATTGTGATTTGGTGTATTGCAATATTGATGTCGTCTACCGAGGCACGACGTCTACTTGTCTGAGTTAAACGAAACCCTTATTTTTGTATACACTCAGGCACGTAGACATGGGTGGGCCTGGGTGGGCTTGGCCCCCCTTAAATTTAATGTGGCCCAGAGCCGGCCCCCCCAAATTTAAAATTCAATTATTTTTACGAATTATCAAAAACGTGCTAGGCCTTATATACATTGAAATTATTATTAATTTGTGTTTACTATTGAGTAATACAGTTATTATTATGGCTGTATTTTCATTTTTATATTCATAGAAAACGTTACTTGAAAAAGATAACGTTCTAGACGTAATAATAAATGGAATAGCAATTACTCCAAACGTGGTTGTAGGTAAATTTTTTTTAACTCTGGTCTAACAAACTACCAAGTATCTGCATTGATTAGAATCTAGTTGATTACAAAATTCGATAGAGTATACTCTATGAAAAATTTTTTGATAAATCTTATCTTTAATTTGTTTCTTTTTTTATAATTTAGTAGTTACAATAGGTAATTTATTTGTTTTTGTTAATTTGTTATTTGCGTGCTCTAAATAATAGTAATTAAAATATGACTAAAAAAAGGCAGGAATTGTTTTTAATTTTAAATAAAATAAATTTTACATTGTTTATAATTTATATTTATTTTAAAATTTTTTATAACTTAATTGTTATTAGTATTTAGGAATAAATTATTTTTTCTTAATAGCTTAAAAGTTGAAAAATTAAATCAGCTTATGTTCATATCATTATTTTATTAGCTTCGATGCAAAGCTGAGAAGGTATTATTTTTACTATGGTGTGTTTTTTTTTGTGTCTGTTACCACTTTTTCCCAGCTCTCACTGAACCCATTTTTTTCAGTAATACGTCAAAAGATCACAAATCGTATCTAGTCGAAGACATTACCCTCAAAAATTGCCATAACTTTTTATATAGATATATGATATCGTTACTTTTCATTTTATATATTTTTTTTTATAAATCTGATCACCCTTTACCTGCCCACGGGGGGATTTAAAATGACAACTTTTTCACAAAAAATTAACTTTTTTCACTTAAATTTTTAAAATGTTCCTGAGAGTCTGACACTTTTATCTATATCTTAAATTAAAGCTAACGTATTGTACTATTTTATTTAAAATAATTTCGGAGTTAATTTTGTCTTCACGGTAAAAATGGCTACCGAATGCTATTTTTGTGTAAAAATTCTCGATTTTGTATTTTACATTTTTAACTTTATAATGCTATAACTTTTTGAAAAATGTATGGATCAGCACAATTTTTTTATGAGAAATAATATTTTTTAATAATCTCTTTTTCATTCGACATACTTTATTTTAATCAGGATATTAATAAGGAAATAGCAGATCATGTAACTTTTGGAATAATCCACCAATTTTTTAAAAATAAACACAAATTTTGAACTTGTAAGATTCATAGAATGGGATACTCTCTAAGGAGGAGTGGAGGGACCCCCCACAAGCTTTTCATGGTAAACAAATTATGGAAAATGATTCAAGGGCCCAAAATTGTTGGCCCCTCCAATAAACATTTTCTGGCTACGTGCCTGTATACACTTCTTTGATTAAATGATTTTTTTACTATAAAATTACGTATTTCTACTCATCAGAACCTTCTTTTAGTAATTAAAATCGTAAACAAATTGATTATTTTGTTTAAATAAATTTAAAAAATATAAAAACAAACACTATATATTCTACCAATATATATTCCAATACATAAATTATATTGTATACAGTATTTTTATTTAAAACTATAATTTCCATTATAAATAAATCCATGATATTGAATAGACAAAAAAATTAGTAAATTGTCACACACAATAAAAACCTGAGAGTACCCTTAGTTACCTTAGTTTCTGAATGCTTTAATGTATAATTGAAGCCTCAATCTGATAATGGTGTTGTAGTAGTTATTTCATTAGCTAACTCGGTTGTTGATACATAATTATTACTATTAGAATTTATTTTAGCTTCTATGCGTGTTAATTTTTCGTTTAAAGAATTTAAAAAATTTACTATGCTCCCGAATGACTGAATACAGGATGGCCCACCACTCACTGACAACTTAAATAACTTTTGATCCAGTTAATATTTTTAGCTGATTTTTTTTTTAAATAATAGTTATACGTTAGGTCTATAGCTATATCTCAATAATTAATTTTTTTACATTTTATTAAAAATATTAATTATTTTTAAATTTTAAATAAAATGTAAAAAAAAAATCTAAGATAGCTATTTTGTAGAGTAGAATTTAAGAAAAATTTTAGTAAAAAAATATCTTATTAATATTCAGTAGTAAATATTCTGTAGCGTTTTGAAGTTTGTGAAAATTTGAATTTTCATGTACTATTTTACGGTATTAAACATTGAAATACGTATTGAGAAAAGGACAGAAGAAAACGCTATCTTTTCAATATACTTTTGAATGAGAGTGATAAGTAATAATTGCCTTATCTAATTTCTTATCATGGTATTTATGCCAAGTTTGTAATGTATACACACTATCATCATATGTATACACAGTAATCATGAAAAGATAGCGTTTTCTTCTGTCCTTTTCTCAATACGTATTTCAATGTTTAATACCGTAAAATAGTACATGAAAATTCAAATTTTCACAAACTTCAAAACGCTACAGAATATTTACTACTGAATATTAATAAGATATTTTTTTACTAAAATTTTTCTTAAATTCTACTCTACAAAATAGCTATCTTAGATTTTTTTTTTACATTTTATTTAAAATTTAAAAATAATTAATATTTTTAATAAAATGTAAAAAAATTAATTATTGAGATATAGCTATAGACCTAACGTATAACTATTATTTAAAAAAAAAATCAGCTAAAAATATTAACTGGATCAAAAGTTATTTAAGTTGTCAGTGAGTGGTGGGCCACCATGTATATTCAAGTGAAATATTCATTTGAGAAGTTACTATATTTTCACCGCTTGATCCAACGATATTATCATTATTTATAAATGTTGAATTGCCAAGTGAAATGAATTTTCCAAAAATTTTTCTTCCTAAAGTAGTGCAAGGACCGATAGATGAAACCATGTTTCCCATATTGTACTGTTTATCAAACAGATCATAAATATCGTCACGCACAATTAAGTCTTTTCCAGTACAGTCGTTCATATCGTACAAAATAATACAAGTAGTGTAATCCAATTTAATAGCTCTTACAGGATCGTTGATACCAAAATGTGCCATTTGTGTGCAGAATTTAGGTTCGGGAATACTAGTACATTTTATGTATTCAGTATTAATACATAATTTTAAATTTTTTGTGTATTGTATCAGATAAGTATAAAGTAAAAAAAGAGAATATTAAAAAAAGAATATTTCATTATTAACTTAAAAAAGAAAAACCCGACATAAATGGAATATATTAACTCTCAAACAACCTTAACAATTAAATAATATTGCTAAACTATAAGAAAATTTTAATTGGATTACTAAGGAAATTATGACTTTGCTCTATATTGATAATAAAAATAAAAATGTTTACAAAAAGATAATTATTCTATATATAATTAAAATGTATTCTACGCAATTTATATAAGACTAAAGTTTACTATTAATTGGATATAAGTATCGATTTACTTAACAATTTGTATTAAATTATTTCATATTTATATTTCTCTCAAATTAACGATTTCATCTAACTACGAGCATTTGATATAAACTAATTCAAATAAATTTTTCATTGCATAAATGTTATTCCTGTTAATCGTGTAGATTCAAATCCTATTTTATTATTATCATTAATATTTTTACTAAATCTTATTTAAGTCTTTAATCTGTTGTGTATTTTCTAATCACTAAAAATATTAATTAAACAATAATGGCTCAACTCATGGCAATTGTTCAATATAATCGATAAATTAAAATAATCGTGTAAATAAAAAATGCAAATAAATTATTTTTAGTTATTTTTATTATGCGAGTAATTGAGTAGTCTGAGATTATAGAACCCCTTTATTACGCTATATTTTTACCATAACAACAGATAAAAATATAACTACGTTGCTACTCTTCTTGTCTATACTACTTAATTATTTTAAGTTTTAGTTGTACTTAAATTAACTGTTTTCTTTTAAATTTGACCAGATGATTTTTTTTAGTTGATTCTCTATTTAATCGTCTAAAAAATATATACGAGTTCTTATTCAAATTTAACAAAAATAAAAATAAAAATATTTGCGCTTTTATAGAATCTTGGTACTTATGTTAATTTTCTCGTTAAAGAAGGTCTCAATCAAAAATTGGATATATATATATATATATATAATAAAACAATTTAAATAGGTTTGATATATAAATATACCAAAAAATGTTTCGAAAATCAAAATCAGTTTCGAGAATCTACTTATTTATGACAAAAAGTTATCAAGAATTAAATTTATCATAAATATTTGAGTAAAACTTGAATTTGCTAAAAGCAAATAGTTCATTAATTAATAAATATAATATAAACGAATACTAAAAGTATAGTAAAATAAGGTAAAATTAAAATTTCAGTAGAGCAAGTAATAAAAAAAAATCTTTACTATTTATTAAACAGTAAATTTTTAGTAGAATAAGTATCATTTTATAGCTTCCGTGCGAAGCTGAGAAGGTATTGGTTTTACTAAGATGTGTTTTTTTTTTTTTTTTTTTTTTGTGTCTGTTACCACTTTTTCTCAGCTCTCACCGAACGGATTTCTTTCAACAATACGTCAAAAGATCACAAATCGTATCTAGTCGAATACATTACCCTTAAAAATTGAAAAAAATTCCACCGTTCCCCGTAAATGGGAGAAACCTCCAAAAAAATTACAAATTTAATAATCGGTAAATTTTATCAATTTTCTCACTTTTTTTTCTTAAAACTGCCAAAACTTTTTCAAAAATGAACATATCAATATAATTTTTTTTTTTTATAGATGCTTAATGTCTTTACCCATCATTTGGTATATTTTTTTTATAAATTTAACCCTTTACCTGCCCACAGGGGGGGTTTAAAATAACAACTTTTTCACAAAAAATTAACTTTTGAAAGTGTTCCGAAAGGTCTGGCACTTTTATATATATCTTAAATTAAAACTTATGTAATATATTTTAATTTGAAAAAAAAAAATTTGACCTCTGGATTTGTCTTCACGGCGAAAATGGCTACCGAATGCAATTTTCGTGTGAAAATTCTGGATTTTATTTTTTATATTATATTTAACTTTATAATGCTATAACTTTTTGAAAAGTTTACGGATCCACACAATTTTTTTTTGAGAAATAATATTTTTTAATAAACCCTTTTTCATTCGACATACTTTATCTTAATCGAGATATTAATAAGGAACCAGCAGATCAAGTAGCTTTTGGAATAAAACACCAATTTTTTTTAAATTAAACACTATCTAAAGATTTGNTTTTTTTTTTTGTGTCTGTTACCACTTTTTCTCAGCTCTCACCCAACGGATTTCTTTCAACGATACGTCAAAAGATCACAAATTGTATCTAGTCGAAGACATTACCCTTCAAAATTGAAAAAATTTCCCTCGTTCCCCGTAAATGTGGGAAACCTCCGAAAAAATAACAAATTTAAAAATGGCTAATTTTCGAAATTTTTTCAATTTTTTTTTCTAAAAACTGCCGTAACTTTTATAAAAATATACATATCAATAAAATTTTTTTTTTTTATAGATGCATGATGTCATTACCTATCATTTGGTATATTTTTTTTATAAATCTGATCCTTTACCTGCCCATAGGGGGGGATTTAAAATGACAACTTTTTAAAAAAAAATTAATTTTTTCAACTTAACTTTTGAAAATGTTCCGGAAGGTCTGACACTTTTATATATATCTTAAATTAAAGCTTATGTAATATCCTTTAATTTGAAAAAAAAAATTTGACCTCTGGACTTTTCTTCACGGCGAAAATGGCTACCGAATGCTATTTTCGTGTGAAAATTCTCGATTTTATTATTCATATTATATTTAACTTTATAATGCTATAACTTATTGAAAAGTTTATGGATCCACACAAAAGTATGTTGCATAAAAGAAGAATATAAATAGTACTTATCTGAAAACAAATTATAATGATCCATACATTTTTAAAAAAGTTATTGCATTATAAAGTTAAAAATATAAAAACAAATTTTTTTATAAAATTTAGTCGGGTAGATACGACTAGATACGATTTGTGATCTTTTGACGTGTCGTTGAAAGAAATCCGTTCGGTGAGAGCTGAGAAAAGTGGTAACAGATACAAAAAAAAAACACATCATAGTAAAATTATTACCTTCTCAGCTTCGCATCGAAGCTAATAAGGTAGAGGATATGATTTAAACAAGTAAAAAGGAACATTATTTAAAACAATAAAAATGTTTTTATTAAAAATCTTTTATATTTATTAATGAATATTGAGCTTAAATGTTAAAAAATTAATAATTAAATATGTTTAGTTCTACTTGTTTACACAAAATTACCGATTTAAATTAATAAAACTTCAATAAACACAATACAAATAAAAAATACACGTTAACGTAAAAAAATTACAAGTAGTAAACAATCTTAACATAAAATAACATTTGATGTAAAATAATTTGTTTTAAATCATATTATCGCATTTTTTGGCTTCATAATAATTTTAAAATTTACTATAAATGGTGTATTACTTAACAATTAAAATTATTTAAATAAATTAGATAAAATAATTATAACTTTTATAAAAACATAAATTATACATATTATATGCACTTATTTAGTCATATTAACTTTATTTAAAAATTTAAATATTGACACGATCTTCAATGATTTTTTAAAACCTAGTCTGTTCCTAATTTTAGAATGAACAAGACCGTAGGTCGATGAAATCTTTTTTATATCCACTAAAAAAGCACAGGCTATAACTAGTTATTTTACCATGTCTAACATTTTCTGGCTTATTTTATTTTTTCAAGCCACCCACCATAGATAATCTTAAATTGAAATCCACGAGCTCAAATGTGATTATTTCAGGCATTCTTTCTGAATAATAAATATTAACGTAATTGTAGATTGCATCCAGTTGATCTTCATTCAAACCATTGCCAATATATCTAGGATCAAGTAAGTAAACTAAATAATAGTAGTTAGTCAAAGTCATTTCAAAAAGGTTCATTAATAATTCTAATAAACTTTTATTAAAAATTTCAAACTCAAAAAACATTTTTGAATCTAACCAGATAAAAGTGCCTTCACTAATAGTACATGAATCAGCTTGTACTCCATCTAAAGCAACTGAAATATTTTTAAGTGTAGTTAGGAATTTTTTAACATTATTTTTAGTCTCCATGATCATATTATGTCTAACATTCAACCTGATTTCCTTCTTTTTTTTTTAACGTATTTTTATCGATCCTGATTTTTATAAATTTTATATATTTTATATATTTCTTATATATTTATATAATTCATATAAATGTTAAATTTATGTATATTAAATCATTAGTAGTAATATATACGTATGCCATTAATTTTGCTATATTAGCTGTTATTGTTTAATTATAATTTTTTATTTTCTATTGATTGTATTATTTTAGTTGTTTGAATCACTTTATTTTTAATTATAAGAAATGTCTATTTAATCATAAGGAATGCCTATTAGGAGTTCAATATAAAATATAAATATATGTGTATAATTACTATCTATATCTATTAGGAGGGTATAATTTCAATGTGTTACAGAATGGAAAAAACAATAAAACAAAGTATTTTCTTGATCGATGACCTCAGCGGCAGTGATCACGACCGACCTACTGATAGTGCGTTATAATAATAAAAACATTATCCGCTTGTGCAAAATTATGTATTCAGTGTACCTATTAACCATTATAATAATCATAATAGACTACTGACATTTGAGTGGGTGTCAGCGAATATGTATAGTTGACGCTCTAGCGCGGCGGTAGTAATCTGTCCGAATGGTATGCAAAAATCATAAAACTAAAAAATAATAACATTAAAAAATGCAAAGAAATGTATGAACACAAGTTGGTCAAGGATCAACCTACAATCCGAAAACTCCCATTGTCTTTTGACGCGTTCTAGTGTACTACAATTATTATTTATTTCGTCTCATTATTGTTTTACAGGTAAACATTACCGAACATAAATAATCTAAACGACAATAATTACCATTGCAGCGCTAGAGTTTGTTAATTGCTCGTGTTATAGATGAACTCTATAGAATGTTTTCATTCAGTTAATTTTGCCAACACGTTTTTGTTAAGTGTATAAAACGATGTCTGTGCTTGTAATTATGGTGAGTACCAGTGCTTTGGCCGTGTTTACTGTTTTTAAGACGGCCCTGGACACAGTGTTTTCTCAAAAAATATATCCTGAGTCTATTTAGTCCATTCACCAAAAAATTAAATAAAAACTTGTAGACCTTGTTCTTTATAATTCTATTAGAATTTCGGTACCATAGGTATGTTTTATTGATCGTTTGTCACGCATTAAATTTCTAAACTATATACTTTGATTACGCCCCCGTTATCAGCAATGATATCACTATTTCTATAATAATAACAAACTTATTAGTCGAAGTTATACGCAGCATAATAAAGAAATTTAAATAGTTGAGTTTTTGAATTGTTATATTTTTATAAAACATTTTTAATCTTTTTTAAAAATGCTTTGATCACAAGAATTTAATTAAAAATTTTTTAACTAAATGAAATGCTACAGAAAAAATCGCGAAAGTATAACTGAATAAAATAGCGTAATTTTTACTGAATTAACAACAATAAATAAAATGTAACTATTATTTATTTAATATACAATCATAAATCATTGTCTTCCGTCTTCGTGTTATCTAAAATATTTCCGGGATTTTATAGATTTTTTCTATAAATTAGTACGTGGGAGTTATGACCAATAAATATGTTTTATCTACTTAAATATTCTTACTAATTCCAATAGAAATCTAAATTTAATAATATAATTAACACAAAAAATAATGATTTATTTATTAATATTTTTTTAAGTAGTAAGAGATTGTGGTTAATTACAATTTCTCGAATTTTTTTTATCATTAGTTTACTTTCAAAATTGCATAGCATACTAATGAAATATTACATAAATTATACAACAAAATTGAGTTTAAGTATAACTTAATTAAAGCGTAGAAGAAACCCATGTAACGTTTATATCGATATTATAAATATACTTGAATAAGCAGTTTTAGGGTAAATTTGTGACATTATTTAACTTTTTTGCCATGTTTATACGTCAAGTCTGTATATTATAGTGAAACTGAATTATATCAATGTGTAAAAAAGTGGCGTAAATAATGTATCGGCTTGGAGGAATATACATTAGAAAAATTTTCATTTCCCATCCACACAAAAAATAATTATACCTTCGTCGTATAATTATGTTTGTCATGAGGATATGACACCCGTATAATTATGACACTGGCGTAATCATATTCTCTAGTAATAAGAGACACATTGAAAAAGGCTTGGTGAAATGGCAAGACAATGGTACCGGTATGTGGCGAGTCTGAATTTGTTCATTTTTTATAAATTTTAACCAAAAAAAACTCTTAATTTTAAATTTTGTAAAATATTTAGTTTTGTTTCAAAACTAATATCTAATTTAAAAATGCTTATGTATAAAATGTGTTTTGTAGATACAAAACTTACGTGAACTTTGTTCATTAAAATATAAATGATTTTCGATTGTTAATATAGATTATTCAATGAGTCAATAATAATAATCATCATAACAATAAAAACAACAATGGACTTAAAATGATACAATGCCAATCATCTACGGTTCAGTAGTTTTTCTTTTGAAAATTGTAACCTCAAAGTATGAACATTTTTTTTTACTGAAAATATATCCAAACATTATCCAAAATAGCCTTGGCTATAGGTCTTAACCACAACATAAGGAACACAGAAATGCTTGGCGTTTTCTTAAGTCCTGGTAGCGTATCTGTTGTCCGGAAGAAACCAATGGGTCACGGACTACATGCTTTAAGAGGTCGATATTATCGTTAAAAACGACTCGTTTTACATTATACTTATCTTTTCATTTTCACGTAAATTATAGGTCATACATATAGTAATAATAACAATGGTACTTGAGATATAAATTGCAATTATCCTATTAGTAAAGAAACTAATATAATTTGTGTTTTCATAATTACAACGAATATAACATACGGCAACGAACTAGATATACATCACCTTGGTCTGTCACCTAACGCTCAGGAGAATATCATTTTGTTGCAAGCCAAGCAATTCATATTTTTATGAAACTCAAAAAAACATAAACAAAATTATACTGTTTAAATTATGCAATGAATCATCATGGCGAGTTGATTTTTGTTCTATTATTACTATTAATGTAAAAAGAAGGTACAAATTTAATAAATGGTTGTTATTAAAATTGATTTATTGAAGCAGGCAATGTTGACCACGATATAAACAACATTGGCTGTTTTTTGACCATCGACAATATTGTTTACTTTCCTTGAATCCTAGAAAAATCAGTAAACCGTGATGGTTAAGACTATGTTCTTCACATTGAACAATTAGATAGTTACATCAATAAAGGATAATAATTAATAACAATGATTACCATTAGACCATGGTTCTTAAGAGACGCCGACCAAGATCATGGAATTTTCCCATCCGCCGTCATTATACTAACACATCTATTGTCATTCACGGCTACTGAAATGACGAAGGCCTAATAATATAGCCTGTAATTATCATCAATGACTTTTTCTATCGTTATTCATTTACATAATCATATGAATATCCAACAATGTATCAAAAGAATTTTAAAAAATTATATGCCGGACAAAATTTTAGGTTAAATTACTTTTTTTATTTATTTATCCATCGATTCATTGAATAGTTCATTAAAAAATATTTTTTCAATGATAACCAATCGGTGACATTTTCATTTACTATTGTCATTTATTATAATTACTTTTTTTTTATGGAAAAGGCATATTATATTA